CCAAAGCAAATGGTCGACATGGGCTGGGTTGCTGTTTGGTACTCTTTTGGTATAGACAATTTGGAATACCAGGGAATGAGGTAGTATTCAAGGGGGCACTTGTGAATGTGGATCGGATGTTCGATCAAATACAAGGGAGGTCTATTTTTGTGGATAAAAAATAATGGGAAGGGAGGAAACTTTACTTTTTGCGGATTGGATTTTAAATCCCAGTAGTTGTAAAATTTCTTATGGAACCATATATATGAAACGCTATTAATTGGCAAGGCAGTGCTTAAGTCCGAGCCTGCCTCATGATGTAAATTGGTTTAAATACTCTTTATACTTAATGAATAACATATTTAAAAAAAGATTTAGAAATAATTTATGTATTTATTTATACATATATTTTTAAAAAGTTATAAGATAAAATAAAATTTTTTTGTGATAGGATAATTAATTAAAATAAATGAATAATAATAAAGCAAAAGTAAAAAAATATATTTACTTACCTTAAAAAATAAAAAAAATAATAATTTAGAACAAACTTAAAATAAAAAAATAATAATAACCTGACTAAAGAGTTAGATCATCCATTCTGAATAAACGATTCACAAAATCACAATGACTTTTCAAGGTAAGTCCCTAGTAAAAGAAAAAAATTACTTTATATGTTATAAAATAATTGTCTTTTTTATTTAAAATATCTTTGTTCTAAATTGATTGTCTTTTTTTTTTTCATAAAAAAAAAAAGACAACATTTTTTCTTGCTTTAATTGTATTATCAAATCTTTACTTTAATTAATGAAAAAGTGTAGTGCAATTCGAATTATATTGGACTGCACTATATTAACTATTGAATGGGGTTAAACCCTCAATATTGGAAGCCCTCCTCTATCTAATGATTTATATTTTACAGTTTAATACAGTTCAAATTATAAAATATGGTTCCCTAACATTCATTATTTACTTATCACTCATTTTTTTAACCTATATATATAGGTAAAATCAAAATTTGTCTATGAATTGTAGTAGCATGTAGTAAAAAAGCCAAACCACTTATTTGCACCATGTACATTTTTTTTTATGGTCAACACCTTCAAGAATTTTTACTTCAGTTAATACCCTCCATAATTTAAAACACATACAAAACCCAAAACTTAATAGTCAAACGTCTTATTTGCACTTGATTTTGTTGGTAATTTGAGGTTTTTTACGAGTTTCAGATTATGATAGATGTTGATTGTCAAAAAAAAAAAAAGTGTATGGTACAAATAAGGGGTTTTACTACTAAAAAAAGAGGTTTTTTTGGTCATTTATTTTGACCTAATTAGTGATAATTTTAACGAATAAAAAGTAATTTGATCAAGTATATTAACCAAATTATTTATCTAAATATGCTTTGTATGAAATAACAGTTTGGACATAATTTCTTCTTGACCAAAAGGTCAAGTAATTTGGTCAAATTGTTTGACCAAAATGATGCATTGGGCAAAGCACAAGGCAAATATTCAGACATATTTGTTAACTAAATTATATTTATTATTATTTTAATCTAAATGGACTCAAATTTAACCCATTTACCTCCAAATTAATGCCCCAATTTTTGATAAATTAAATCCTACAAAGAGAAATGAATATCATTAGTAGAAGAAGAGAAAAAAACATTAGAAAAAAAGAAATGTTAAAATAAATCAAAAGAAATTAGAAGTGAAAAGGAAGGGAAGAAAATAAATTAGCAATTAGAAAATATAGAAGGAAAGGGAAGTGAAAGGAAAAGGGAATAAAAGAGAAGAAAAGAGAAGAAAAATAAGTTTAAGAAAAGGAAGAGGAAGATAAGTGAAAGGAAATGGAAGAAGAGATCAGAGAAATGAGTAGGAGAAAAAGATGAGGAGGAGAAGTGAGGAAAGGAGATAATAGAAGAAGAGTGGGAAAAACAAATGAGACTTGAAACATATGTTGTTCCTTGTAAAATAAATAGAAGAAAATATAGACAAAAAATTAGTAAAACAGTGAATTAAAGATGAAAAGTGAAAGAATGTCACCGAAAATATGAGAAGTTTGAATCACTCTCTTTAGAACGTTTCATGCCATTAGTGCAGTAGTTTCTTATGGTCACGTTGCCTCCAAGATACAATAGCTCAATCTTTCCTTTACAAGTACTATACTCTTATAAAGAAAACTCTACCGCACCACTTTTTTCTTACTTAAAGAGAGTTTGTATACAATGCTTGTGAAATAAGAGTATAGATTATGAAAAATAGTATCAACCTCTTTTTAGAAATTGAGGCTGCCTACTTATAGGCCTTCGCATAGCATAACGGGAGTAAATTAAAATGAGAAACTGTTGGAATTTAAAATGGCATTCGTCGGTTACAAAAAATTAAAACTGGTGAGTGAAGCAAATGTTGTAACTGGTGAGTAATTTGCATACTAATACCAGTTATGAACTAATGCCGCCGGTTATAGTATTTGAGTTTGATTTTATTCTTTAAGAAAGAAACGCACAAATTCATTCTTAAAACAGGAAGGCACATGGGTTTGTAACTGACACAAAGTCGCATATTTAATTTTTTAAAAACAATAGGCTCGTAACCGACTGTGCACAAACGGTTTGCAATTTTTTTAATTAAAATCTATAACAACATATATATAGGCTACAAACTAATCCAAACAAAAATATTGATAAAAAAAAATTTGGTGGAGATTTCAAACTAATTCAGTTGATAATTGCAAGGGAATTTTATATTATTCGAACAAAAAATTTGACCAAAATATAATATGTAAGAATTCGAAATTTATTATTATTATATTCAAACAAATAAAATGATCAAAATAGTGTATTATTTTATACACACAAAAATATATATATATATATATATCATTTTTTTGATACCATGAATAATTCTAATTGATCAATTGATTAAATTAAAATCAATTTTTACTCTCTTTGCTTAAAATAACTATCATTTTTTTTATACTTTTCTCCAAATTGAATAGTGTTTTTGACTAAAAATTTGTCCCAAAATAATAGGGTTTTTTTAATTAAAAATTTGTCTTAAAATAATAGTTTGTTTCTTTCATTTTTCTTGCTTTAACCTCATTGTTATCTCTTAATTTTAATTTTGCATATTACTATCACAAAAAATATCTTTTTTATTTAGCACTTTTATTTTTTTAAAAATAATACAAGTAAAATGATAAATTATCTCTAAATCTTTTAATAAGAAACAAAAAGGGAATTGTTAAGAGAATAGTACATTGTTAATTAAAATTGGTAGTAAATGGGAATTAAAGTTAAAGGGCTGTATTAATTATTAAAATTAGTAAAGTTAATTGCATTTAATTCATTTTCCTTTAATTAATATAGTAAAAAAAAGTTGATTTTTATATGCACTGAATAATATATTTTGATCAAAATCACTAACGGAAACACTTTGACTTGTGAGCCCCATTGTCTGAACCAATCAAATAAGCATGTAAAATTTACCTAAATACATGACATTTTAGACAAGAAATATGCCTGAGTTTATGTAGTTTCAGAGGATAATTATTCGGGCAAAAATTTTGATCGAACATAATAAAAAAATACCTTTAACCTTCAAAAACTCTTAAGAAACTTGTTTGTTTATTTGGTCAAATTAATTGACCCCAAAATTTTATTTTTTATTACCCTTGTTGTTCAGTCAAATAATTTTTATAAATATTTTAGGCAAAATTTTGAACCGAATAAATATTAGACTGAATAAATGAAACCCAAACTATTTAAATGGACTAACTGGCCTGGTAGAAAAAGGTAGTTGATATCCTTTTTCTTTCTTTGCTTTTATTTTTTATTCTTTTTTGGTAAATTGTGATTTTTACCAAAAAAGAAAACAAGGAATGTTAAGGAAAC